TGCTGCGGCGGTGGATCGGCGGTTGGCTGGTTTGGCCTTCTTTTTTAAGTTACAAGGGTGTCGGGATTTTACCAAAGATTTCTGGGTGCGTCAGGCTATTCGGGGTTACTGTAGGGCTCATCGCTGTAGGGATTCTCGTCGCCCGGTGTCCTTCGAGTTGTTAGGATCTTTATTTACACATTTGCGGTTTGTTTGTTCTTCGGACTTTGAAGTGGGCTTGTTTAGGGCGGCTTTTGCGGTGGCCTTCTTTGGGGGCGTTGCGTATTGGGGAGCTTGTTAGTCCATCCAAATCGGTGCTTGGGGGGTTGTTGGTGGATGATGTTGTGTGCTCGGGCGACTGGGTGGAGGTGTTCATCCATCGGTCTAAGACGGACCGCTGGGGGTCGTGGTGCGCGGGGGTGGGTTCGGTTTCTTGCCCTTCCAGGATCACTAGTGTGCCCGGTGCATGCGGTTCGAGAAATTTTTGTCCCGGCGTTCCGGTGGGGCAGAAGTCCTTTTTGATGCATGCTGATTGGTCCCCGTTAACTCGTTTTCAATTTGTGTCGGTTTTTCGGAAATGTTTACGGGATGTTGGTTTGGATGCGTCTTTGTATGCTTCACACTCGTTTCGTATTGGGGCTGCTACTGAGGCCGCCCGGTGGGGGTTTGTCGGATGAGGCGGTAAAAACGGATTGGTAGGGTGGGATTCGCAGAGATTTCGCCTGTACAGTTTCGCCCGCATCTGCTGGGGGACTAAAAAGGGTGGTTTCCGGGTTCTTTTGGTTGCTGGGGGCTGGGGGAGTTTGTCCTGTCTCTGTGATGTTGTTGGTTCTTGTGGTAGTTTTTGTTCTTTTATTTCAGATGGAGCGGTTTGCCTGGTCTGGATCCTGGGGCACTCCTACGTTTTTTGGGGGGCTCGGCGGGGCGGATGTGTGACCTAATGGCCGGCAGCTGGGATTGGCTAGGCAGGCGGCTTGTGTCCTATGGATAGGTGTGCCGGGGATGTTGTGGGGTCGTGTGGTACCTGAGGTGCGGCGTTTTGCATGCCTGGATAGACCCGCCGGATGTTTTGGTGCTTCATGCGGGTGGCAGCCATCTAGGGGTTCGGTCCATGCGGGAGCTGGTGCGGGATGTTAAGCTGGATTTTCTTCAATTGCGTCGGGATTATCCCGAGATGGTTGGTGTGGTGTGGTCGGACATGGTAGCCCGCACCTCTTGGCGTTTGGTGCGGTCGGTGGAGCGGCTCAATAAGGCTCGGATCAAGGTCAACAAGGAGGTGGGTGGGCGCTTCTTTGTTCGGAATGGGGGGTTGGTGGTCCGGCACTTTGAGTTGGAGGTTGATACTTGGCGGTATCTGCGGAGTGATGGGGTTCATCTCAATGCCGTTGGCACGGATTTATGGGCTCTGGTTTGCAGGACGGATTTCAGAGAGCTGTTCGTTTGTGGTGGGGCACGCATGGGTAAGGGCTTACCCAGCGTGCTGTGGCGGTTGTTGATCTTGGAGGCGGTTCTTATCTTGGAGGTACTGATAATGGTGTGGGAACCATCGGTGGTATGGTGTGCCGGGGACATTCCAGTTAACCAAGGTTTAACTGGAAGGTGTGGTGCTGCATGCTGCGGACGGTATGGTTGTCTCCGAGCTGGTTGGTTGCGGCTGGAGGCCTTTTTGTGTTATTTGGTTGTCCGCAGGTGCATTTCAGATCATTTTTGTGGGGTGCCTTCGAAGACCAACAACAACAACTCTGTATGTTTCTGTTAGTAAGGAATGGTTGGTGTTGTAAAAATGTTTGTTAATAAAAGGCCATGTTGGGCCATTTACTCCAAAATTGGTGTCATGGTTTTTATTTAAGTATAGTAAGGGGGGGGGGGGGATTTGGATGACCTATCTCTGTGTGCTCTAGTCAAGTAATGCCCGTAGCGAAAAAAGGAAAGGAAAAATTAGCGCAGGGCAGGCATGAATGCCTAGAGTGGGAAGGAGAATAAGAAAGGGTTAATGATGTGCCAGGGGGGTGTGGAAAAGTATAGGTGGGTGTGCTGGTTGGTGGAGAGAGAGAGCGTGGGTGGGCTCTGCCGCACCTTAGGGTGGGGTGTCCCGGGGGGGGGAGGCATCATTTCGGAGCTGGATGTTGGTGAGTGAGATTCCCTCCCGCCCTCCCATGTTATAGGGAGTATTGTGTTTCCTCTCGGGGGACAGGGGGTTGTTTCGGTCTTGGGCGGTGTTGGTCTTGGAGGCGGTTCTTATCTTGGAGGTACAGATAATGGTGTGGGACCCATCGTTGGTATGGGATGCCGGGGGACATTCCTGTTAACCAAGGTTTAACTGGAAGGTGGTGGTGCTGCACTGCGGACGGTATGGTTGTCTCCGAGCTGGGTTGGTTGCGGCTGGAGGCCTTTGTGTAATATGGTTGTCCGCAGGTGCATTTCAGATCATTTTTGTGGGGTGCCTTCGAAGACCAACAACAACAACTCTGTATGTTTCTGTTATAAGGAATGGTTGGTGTTAAAAATGTTTGTTAATAAAAGGCCATGTTGGCCATTTACTCCAAAATTGGTGTCATGGTTTTTATTTAAGTATAGTAAGGGGCGGAACGGGGGGGGGGGGGGGGATTTGGATGACCTATCTCTGGTGCTCTAGTCATGCGGTTTTCCATTTTGTCATAGGTTGCTGGCAGATTACAGGCCTCCCATAGGTGCCGCCAGGCCCCAAATCGGCCATGGGCCCCCGTACCGCCTGGTCACGCTGCTGCTGGTCCCACAGTGTGACCTGGGTCCCTGTACCGCCTCCCATTGCTCCCACTCTGCCATGTGCCACTTTGAGGTCTCCTCACACTGCTGGTGTGTTCAATTTTTTGACATAGGGTGCTGGCAGATTACGGGCCTCCCATTGCTGCTGCCAGGCCCGTAATCTGCCATGGGCCCCCGTACCGACTCCTCATGCTGTGACGTTGCAACAAGGTGGAATTCAACCCTACATATGTTAGACCGCCTTTACGAACAGCGAAAGGCCATCACAGATTTCCTGATGTTAAAAGCGGATAAAGGTACTCCCTGTGTAACTTAGATGTCAGCCATTGGCAGCTCATGCGTGACACCTGCGCTTGCTCAGGCCCTTTGAGGAGGCCACGCTATTTGTGAGTCGGCAGGACTATGGGATGAACGAGGTCAAATCTGCCATGGGCCCCCGTACCGCCTGGTCACGCTGCTGCTGAGCCCACAGTGTGACCTGGGTCCCTGTACCGCCTCCCATTGCTCCCACTCTGCCATGTGCCACTTTGAGGTCCACACTCCTGCGGTTTTTTCCATTTTGTCATAGGTTGCTGGCAGATTACAGGCCTACCATAGGTGCCGCCAGGGCCCCAAATCGGCCATGGGCCCCCGTACCGCCTGGTCACACGCTGCTGCTGGTCCCACAGTGTGACCTGGGTCCCTGTACGGCCTCCCATTGCTCCCACTCTGCCATGTGCCACTTTGAGGTCTCCTCACACTCCTGCGGTTTTCCATTTTGTCATAGGTTGCTGGCAGATTACAGGCCTCCCATAGGTGCCGCCAGGCCCCAAATCGGCCATGGGCCCCCGTACCGCCTGGTCACGCTGCTGCTGGTCCCACAGTGTGACCTGGGTCCCTGTACGGCCTCCCATTGCTCCCACTCTACCATGTGCCACTTTGAGGTCTCCTCACACTCCTGCGGTTTTCCATTTTGTCATAGGTTGCTGGCAGATTACAGGCCTCCCATAGGTGCCGCCAGGCCCCCAAATCGGCCATGGGCCCCCGTACGCCTGGTCACGCTGCTGCTGGTCCCACAGTGTGACCTGGGTCCCTGTACCGCCTCCCATTGCTCCCACTCTGCCATGTGCCACTTTGAGGTCTCCTCACACTCCTGCGGTTTTCCATTTTGTCATAGGTTGCTGGCAGATTACAGGCCTCCCATAGGTGCCGCCAGGCCCCAAATCGGCCATGGGCCCCCGTACCGCCTGGTCACGCTGCTGCTGGTCCCACAGTGTGACCTGGGTCCCTGTACCGCCTCCCATTGCTCCCACTCTGCCATGTGCCACTTTGAGGTCTCCTCACACTCCTGCGGTTTTCCATTTTGTCATAGGTTGCTGGCAGATTACAGGCCTCCCATAGGTGCCGCCAGGCCCCAAATCGGCCATGGGCCCCCGTACCGCCTGGTCACGCTGCTGCTGGCCCACAGTGTGACCTGGGTCCCTGTACCGCCTCCCATTGCTCCCACTCTGCCATGTGCCACTTTGAGGTCTCCTCACACTGCTGGTGTTTTTCATTTTTTGTCATAGGGTGCTGGCAGATTACGGGCCTCCCATAGCTGCTGCCAGGCCCCAAATCTGCCATGGGCCCCCGTACCGCCTCCTCATGCTGTGACGTTGCCCACAGTGTGACCTGGGTCCATATGTTAGACCTCCCATTTACGAACAGCTCTGCCATCACAGATTTCCTGATGTTAAAAGCGGATAAAGGTACTCCCTGTGTAACTTAGATGTCAGCCATTGGCAGCTCATGCGTTTTCCACCTGCGCTTGCTCAGGCCCTTTGCCACGCATTCGTGAGTCGGCAGGACTATGGGATGAACGAGGCCCCAAATCTGCCATGGGCCCCCGTACCGCCTGGTCACGCTGCTGCTGAGCCCACAGTGTGACCTGGGTCCCTGTACCGCCTCCCATTGCTCCCACTCTGCCATGTGCCACTTTGAGGTCTCCTCACACTCCTGCGGTTTTCCATTTTGTCATAGGTTGCTGGCAGATTACAGGCCTCCATAGGTGCCGCCAGGCCCCAAAATCGGCCATGGGCCCCCGTACCGCCTGGTCACGCTGCTGCTGGTCCCACAGTGTGACCTGGGTCCCTGTACGGCCTCCCATTGCTCCCACTCTGCCATGTGCCACTTTGAGGTCTCCTCACACTCCTGCGGTTTTCCATTTTGTCATAGGTTGCTGGCAGATTACAGGCCTCCCATAGGTGCCGCCAGGCCCCAAATCGGCCATGGGCCCCCGTACCGCCTGGTCACGCTGCTGCTGGTCCCACAGTGTGACCTGGGTCCCTGTACGGCCTCCCATTGCTCCCACTCTGCCATGTGCCACTTTGAGGTCTCCTCACACTCCTGCGGTTTTCCATTTTGTCATAGGTTGCTGGCAGATTACAGGCCTCCCATAGGTGCCGCCAGGCCCCAAATCGGCCATGGGCCCCCGTACCGCCTGGTCACGCTGCTGCTGAGCCCACAGTGTGACCTGGGTCCCTGTACCGCCTCCCATTGCTCCCACTCTGCCATGTGCCACTTTGAGGTCTCCTCACACTGCTGGTGTGTTCAATTTTTTGACATAGGGTGCTGGCAGATTACGGGCCTCCCATTGCTGCTGCCAGGCACGTAATCTGCCATGGGCCCCCGTACCGACTCCTCATGCTGTGACGTTGCAACAAGGTGGAATTCAACGGCCTACATATGCTCCCACTTATGACCGCCTTTACGAACAGCGAAAGGCCATCACAGATTTCCTGATGTTAAAAGCGGATAAAGGTACTCCCTGTGTAACTTAGATGTCAGCCATTGGCAGCTCATGCGTACACCTGCGCTTGCTCAGGCCCTTTGAGGAGGCCACCTATTCGTGAGTCGGCAGGACTATGGGATGAACGAGGTCAAATCTGCCATGGGCCCCCGTACCGCCTGGTCACGCTGCTGCTGGTCCCACAGTGTGACCTGGGTCCCTGTACCGCCTCCCATTGCTCCCACTCTGCCATGTGCCACTTTGAGGTCTCCTCACCTCCTGCGGTTTTCCATTTTGTCATAGGTTGCTGGCAGATTACAGGCCTCCCCATAGGTGCCGCCAGGCCCCAAATCGGCCATGGGCCCCCGTACCGCCTGGTCACGCTGCTGCTGGTCCCACAGTGTGACCTGGGTCCCTGTACGGCCTCCCATTGCTCCCACTCTGCCATGTGCCACTTTGAGGTCTCCTCACACTCCTGCGGTTTTCCATTTTGTCATAGGTTGCTGGCAGATTACAGGCCTCCCATAGGTGCTGCCGCCAGGCCCCAAATCGGCCATGGGCCCCCGTACCGCCTGGTCACGCTGTCACGCTGCTGGTCCCACAGTGTGACCTGGGTCCCTGTACGGCCTCCCATTGCTCCCACTCTGCCATGTGCCACTTTGAGGTCTCCTCACACTCCTGCGGTTTTCCATTTTGTCATAGGTTGCTGGCAGATTACAGGCCTCCCATAGGTGCCGCCAGGCCCCAAATCGGCCATGGGCCCCCGTACCGCCTGGTCACGCTGCTGCTGGTCCCACAGTGTGACCTGGGTCCCTGTACCGCCTCCCATTGCTTCCCACTCTGCCATGTGCCACTTTGAGGTCTCCTCACACTCCTGCGGTTTTCCATTTTGTCATAGGTTGCTGGCAGATTACAGGCCTCCCATAGGTGCCGCCAGGCCCCAAATCGGCCATGGGCCCCCGTACCGCCTGGTCACGCTGCTGCTGATCCCACAGTGTGACCTGGGTCCCTGTACCGCCTCCCATTGCTCCCACTCTGCCATGTGCCACTTTGAGGTCTCCTCACACTCCTGCGGTTTTCCATTTTGTCATAGGTTGCTGGCAGATTACAGGCCTCCCATAGGTGCCGCCAGGCCCCAAATCTGCCATGGGCCCCCGTACCGCCTGGTCACGCTGCTGCTGGGCCCACAGTGTGACCTGGGTCCCTGTACCGCCTCCCATTGCTCACACTCTGCCATGTGCCACTTTGAGGTCTCCTCACACTCCTGCTGGTTTCCATTTTGTCATAGGTTGCTGTATGGCCTCCCATTGCTGCTGCCTCCACCGCCACACTGTGGCTCCAAACACTGGTTTTGGCCCCGTGACTGGCCAAATGAGTGAAGTGTGCGGTGATTCTAAGATCGACGGCACTCATCTGCATGTCATACTGACTGACAGTATTATTTCTCTTCCCCAGCAGACTCCAAGGGCATTTAAATTAAAGGTACAGTGTTCTGCACTAATATTAAGTCTCTCTGAAGCCTAGAAACACCCTTTTTTAAGTTAAATTCACAGCGAATATATTCGACTCGAATCGAATATTGTCCACGAATTCGCCGAATCAGTCGAATCGAATTTTTGAATACTTCGCTCATCTCTATTTATAATGTTTCACTTTAAAGTGGTTGTAAACACAAAAAAAAAATCAAAATTGAAATGACCAGTCTACCTCACACAGCATAGCAGCAGACGTAATCTGTCCCTAGTCTGGCCAATAAAGGAGCAGCCAGACATCTGAAATCCTTTCTGCTTTTCTACAGTGAAAAAAACAGACACACAAAAATCCCATTTCAGTCTTTGCAGATGACACCAAGCTGTGCAGTGGAATAACATCCTTATAGGATGTCTTCAACTGCACAAGCTTAATAATGTCATGCAATGCCAAGCTGCGGTTTCTAAAGCGAGCAATATCCTCTCTTGTATTAAAAGAGGTATAGACTCCAGAAAGAGAAATATCATTTTATCCCTGTACAAATCACTAGTAAGACCTCATCTGGAATATGCAGTTCAGTTTTGGGCACCAATTCAAAAAAAGAACATTGGGGAACTGGAGAAAGTACAGAGAAGGGCAACCAAACTGATAAGAGGCATGGAGGAGATCAGCTATGAGGAAAGATTAGAGGAACTGAATTTATTCTCTCTTGAGAAGAGGAGATTAAGGGGGGATATCTTCAACATGTATAAATACATCCGTGGTTCATATAGAGAACTCGGTGTAGAGCTATTCACCCTGAGGTCATCACAGAGGACAAGGGGGCACTCTTTAAATCTGGAGGAAAAGAAATGTACTCTCCAAACACGGAAAGGTTTCTTCACAGTGAGAGCTGTGAAAATGTGGAATAAACTCCCTCAAGAGTTGGTTCTGGCCAGCTCAGTAGATTGCTTTAAAAAAACGCTTGGATTCTTTCTTAGATACACAGAATATAAGTTGATCCTGTGAAAATCCAATAGACTCTTGGGGGATCAGGAAGGATTTTTTTTGACTGCAGGAGCAAATTGGATCATGCTTTGCTGAGTTTTTTTGCCTTCCATGGGATCAACTGTTAGTATAGCATTATAACTTTTTTTTTTTCGTATGGTTGAACTAGATGGACTTTTTTCTATTTTCAGCCAGACTATGTAACTATGTAACATGAAAAAGAATTGTGTCACCACACCCCCTCTCCCGTGCCTGAAAGACTACTTAGGAGTCAACTCCAGCCTGGGGAAACTGAGAAAACAGTTATCCCCATAAACACTGGGGAGCATTTAAGGCACCGGAGATTGCAGGCTTTCATAGGCTGGAGGGAGCTAAGCAACTGTCGGGAATTACTCAGCAGGACCCTGCTGACACTGAGTGTTTATCTCTACTAAGGGAGAAGGGGGGGGGGGGAATACATGCTTTCACAGGTCATCATTATCAACTAATGGGAGCCAAACATCCTCACACAGATTTAACCCCACAGCTCCTAGGGAGGGAGCCAAGCAGAAGAATCACAATTAATCCCTCAATGGTTGGGCACTTCTACTGTAGTGTACCTACTTTCAAGTAACGCCTGATAGTTACACAGTATCAGTGGTCAGTCATGTGTCAGAGAGAATTTCAGATGACTAGCCTTTCCTTTCTTTTCCAGACTATGGACAAATACCTTCTGCTGTTATGCTGTGTGAGGTAGACTAGTCATTTCAATTTAGATTTCTTGGGTTTACAACCACTTTAAACATTACTAAAATTGTTGCTCCCCACCAAAGGGATATGTTTTACTTTTGTTTGCTTCAGTACATGTTACCCATTATAGTGCCAAGTCACCCATGCCATTTTTTTTTACAAACATTTACCTATTAGCCTAAAAGTGGCCATTGCATTTTTTAACATTGATTTTAATGAGATTCAGATTCAGCACCTGAACTTCAGTAATATTTACCAAACCCGCCTCAAATCGAGCCTAGGTACAGTTGTGTTCAAAATAATAGCAGTCAGGCATCACTATCCTGATCAATCACTGTTTTTGGTAGAAATGATATTTCTACAAGGCAAATAATTTACTAGCAGGTGTAGTAGAGTAATAGAAATCCAACAGACCCAACAGTCATGACATGCATGCTGCTGATTCTGTGTAATTGAATCACTAATTGAAAGGGGCATGTTCAAAATAAGAGCAGTGTGGAGTTCTATTAGTGAGGTCATTCATTCTTTGAAAAACAGATGGCAATTATTGCCCTTATTTAGGGAGGAAGGCAGCAAATGTTGTACATGCTGATTACAGTGCATTTCTCTCTGAAATTCTGAGGAAAATGGGTCGTTCCAGACATTGTTTAGAAGAACAGCGTACCTTGATTAAAAAGTTGATTGGAGAGGGGAAAACATATAAAGAAGTGCAGAAAATGTTAGGCTGCTCAGCTAAAATGATCGCAAATGCTTTAAAACCAAAACCTGAAAGACGTGGAAGAAAGCTAAAAACTACCATTCGAATGGATAGAAGAATAGCCAAAATGGCAAGAACTCAGCCAACAATCAGCTCCAGGAAGATCAAAGAAAGTCTAAAGTTACCTGTGAGTACTGTTACAATTAGAAGACGCCTATGTGAAGCCAAGCTATCTGCAAGAAGCCCCCGCAAAGTCCCACTGTTGAAAAAAAGATGTGCTGAAGAGGTTACAATTTGCCAAAGAGCACATTGACTGGCCTAAAGAGAAATGGCGCAACATTTTGTGGACTGATGAAAGTAAGATTGTTCTTTTTGGGTCTAGTGGCCGGAGACAGTTTGTCAGACGACCCCCAAACACTGAATTCAAGCCACAGTACACTGTGAAGACAGTGAAGCATGGTTGCACAAGCATCATGATATGGGGATGTTTCTCATACTACGGTGTTGGGCCTATTTATCGCATACCAGGGATCATGGATCAGTTTGAAAACATCAGAATGCTTGAAGAGATCATGTTGCCTTATGCTGAAGAGGAAATGCCCTTGAAATGGGTGTTCTAACAAGACAACGACCCCAAACACACCAGTAAACGTGCAACATTTTGGTTCCAGACCAACAAGATTGACGTTATGAAGTGGCCAGCCCAATCTCCGGATCTTAATCCAATAGAAAACTTGTGGGGTGACATCAAAAAATGCAGTTTCTGGGGCAAAACCAAGAAATAGAGAAGAACTGTGGAATGTAGTCCAATCATCCTAGGCTGGAATACCTGTTCACAGGTGCCAGAAGTTGGTTGACTCCATGCAACACAGATGTACAGCAGTTCTCAGAAACAGTGCTTATACAACGAAATATTAATTAAGTGATTCAAAGGAAAGCAAAATCTTCAAACATTTTTCAGTTTATATAGTGAATGTTTGAGTTTGTAAAGAAGAATACAAACACTGCTATTTGTTTGAACAGTCTAATATTCACTTTTCTTCAATTTTTTTAGAGGAACAACACAAATTTGATATATTTTTCTTCATGTTTGATTTGAATAGAATGTGTAGTGTTCCCAATGCATTGGTGTGTATGGAAATAAAAGCTATTAGAAGGATTTTGAGCTTTATTCACTTTTTTCAACACACTGCTATTATTTTGAACACAACTGTATTTGTGGTTCACCCTTAATGGTAATTGAGGTAGGGGAAATTATGGCAGAGCTAGGCCAGGACAGATCGCAATCTGACACTCCCGGAAGTGGGAGAGAAGACTGTTAGGGCTGTGCTAGGTTACTTACTCATCCTGTAGTCAAATTTTCTGGCAAGTTCCAAGGCACATGCTAAGTGATTAAAAAACCATGTATATAGAGAAAAACACACTGCAAATAAGAATTTGAAATGCTTGATTTGTGTGCTTTTGTCCTCAATTTTTTTAAGTTGGTGGCAGGGTAGGCTGGTTGTACAAATGTTGATCTGCCAACCAACTTCTGTGTAATTACCCTGTCAGGTTTTTCCCAGTCGATCAGTGCTGCCGGCTATAGTCCCCTTGCCATCAAAACACAATAGCTCAGTGGGAAGGATGTCAAGGTAAATTTGTGTTTATTTTTGTTTGTTCAAC